CCAAATACTTTACCTTAACCATAATGCAACCAATATCGTACCACCCACAAGAAGTGGACGCGGGGCAGAAAATAGCAGAGAAAGGGGGTGGGGGTGGCACCCGCACGCGCGCGTGCGCGCCACCCCCATCCCTTCTTCGCCCGCACCGCTTCCTCCTCTTACCCGTCCTCCTTACAGCCCCTCCGCCGTGCCCCCAGGTCAACTGCCGATGATGCGCGCTGCTTGCGCCCACTCCAAAACACGCAAAACATCGCCTCGCACTGCGTGGGGGGTTGTGGGCGTTCCGGGTGCTCATGATGCTCGCCTGATGCTCTCCTAGGGTCGTTCATTGGTGCCACGACACCCGCCATACCATGGAAAATAGCCGCAAAACGCTTGCGTCGGCGGGGGAGCCTCCAAACGAGGTCCCGCGCGACCCAACGGAAAACACAAGTCCGATAATGCAGGGTCGGCGGCACTGCCGGCCGCCCGATCGCGAAAGCAAGCCTTGCAAGCTACACTCGACTCCAGCGAAAGTTTGCGGGCTTCACGGCTTTCGTTTGTAGATATATGGGAGTCGCTACTAGTATACACGGCTCCTACTATACGGGGTGGGTGTCAGCCGTCCACATCGGCATCGTCGTCGTCGTCGCCGTCACCGACATCATCAGCAGCATCATCATTGCTGCTGCTGCTGCTGCTGAGCTCTAGTAGTCACCTCGCAGGTCGCGCCTTCTTCGGGATCTGAGACCGCGACGAACGTCGGCGACATCGTGGGAAAATGCTGCAGGTTGTTGGTGCTCCAGCTTTGTAGGGCATTTCGTCCAAATCGAGACATCCATGCAGTGGTTTTCGTGCCTCGCCGGCCACTTCATCTGGTTCTTATATTTTTGAGTGATCAAACTGGAGTTGCACACAACCGCCCAGATCCGCTCTTGGTGGAATCTCCAGGGTTGCTTGGGCCGCCAAATTTTAATGCTTTCAACGCAACGAACAAAGCTGTAACATGATAACTTGACCTGCGCCAGCTTGAAGCCTGCTCTCACTTACAACCGGCACCTCACTTCGGGGCTTGGCAGAATGACTTTGAGTGCTCCTCCTCCGGTGCCTGTTCGGACCAACCCCCAACCCCACAAGCCAAGCGGAACACTGCAACGGCTTCTCCGCATGAGTTACTTGCAGCCCTTTGCCGCAAAGATGAGTTGAATCTGAAGGGGCTTCCGCCGGAGGACTACCGCTGGTGACGGTGATGGAGATTGGGAGAGTGATGAAAATTATCCTGTTCATGCTTGTCGCATTCAGCAGGAGCATGACCATCGACATTTGCATCATCCTTGGCATCATCATTATCCTCATCCTTTTCATTCTCCCCGCCATCCTCCTCCACATCATCCTTATCACGCTTCTCTGCACCTTGCTCCTCCTGGCTCAAGGCTAGTATATTGCCGGACGTAAACATTCGAGCCCATGCAGCACAACACAAAATGCCACGTCATGGTGCCTTCAACAGGTGGCCCACAAGGCTCCAGATCCAGTTGTTGTCGTTACATGTCGTGACTGTGGTTTGGCCGCTGATAGGACCAGAGTCGCTGCTCCATACTTCCGGTTCTATGGCGTGACATAAACAGACTCAGCTACCATGTTTCTCAATCAGCAGACTCACTTCAACCATCATTTTTGCAAGCACAAGAAGGATGTGGTCGTGTCCGTGGCTTCTTCCATATCCGCCACCAGATTGTGCATCAAAGCGAATCAAAGCAAACCCAGAGTGTCGCCAGAAGGGCTCCATGGGCCCTGCTGCACCATGTGGCGCGTTTGCAGAACCTCGGCGGCTGCAGCGATGCTTCAGGACAGGGCTCGCTGAGGTCGTCGTTGAGAATTTGGAGCTGACGGGTTCGACTGAACGCCCCGCCTTATGGTCTGTCGGATTTCAGACATGACCTTCAGCACACTGGAGCAGCATCCCGCGTGACCACGTCTCGCTTCGGTTCAGCAATTTCCGAACTAACTGAGAGTGTGCGGTGCAACTGCGCGCGACGGAGCATGTTGCCTGGGCAGTTGCACGTTTCTTGGGCTGTTGGTTCGGGCCTTTTGGGCTCGGCAAGCAGTGGCTCGTCGGTCTTCGCATGCATGCGGTCGGGGAGGAAAGTGCTGACAACGAGCTTTGAAACCACGTGTTTCCATACTGTGAGGTGTCCAGAGAGTCTGATGTGCCCTGTCTGTGCGAAGGCGTGTTTAACGAGCTTAGACCATGCTACAGTGCTTCAACGCCGCGGAAACGGACTGTGGTTAAAAGATGTTAAAAGGAGAAGCCGTCAATGCCAGTGCCTTGAACTCTGAACCTTCAACGTCAACCTGCATCGGCGCCGTGCAGTCATGGATGGCATTGCAATACCCCGATGCAGTCGGTAGAACCGGTCTGCAATCCAGAAATACATTCCCGAAGCGATATCATCTCTTCGCAGGGTGGCAGAAAGCATGCAGGAATTGGCGGCGCTTTAGAAGGCAGGGCCCTTGCTCTTGTGTTCCACTCTTATTGGCAGTTGGGTCTTGTGAGGCCTCGTGAGTTTTGGAGTGCAGAAGGGGAGTGTGAGCGAAGCGGAGCGGATGGAGTGGGTCGAGTGCATTTGGTTTTGGGATGCGGTAGCTTGTAAGAGGGCCGTTAGTTTTGGAGCATACTGTGCTGGGACTTTATGAAAACTTGGAGATGGTGATGGGTTCATTCAGGGCCCAAGGATGGAACTGCATTTGCGCTTGAGGATGTGGGGATATGATGGTCATCCATCCGTCTGGCAAAGGAGCAGTTCAATGTCCGAAAGCTAGCATGCGCACATGCCTAGAAGAAATCCCTTCAGTCTTGTCCAAGCAGTATTTGGGACCTACTGTCGGTGCTGGATCCCAATAGTGCGGGAGATCATCTGCATCGTGCGTGCGCGGGCAGGAGACCTGATGCCCACAAGTCACGTATGGTCACGTAATGTGCGTGCAACAGCCGGCCCACCAGCCATGAGGAAGTTGACCATGCGACTTCAGAAGGAAGAGACTGCTTGCTCTTAACCCTGGATGGAACTCTGAAGCCGGGCAAGCGAACCATGAAATCCTCCGTGTACCCCGAAGTACTTTTGAATGAAGGTCTGCTACTGACGCTCCGATCATTGCTACTCTTGTCCCTGTTTTCTCATGCTTTGAAAAGATCTTGGTCCAGGCTTGCCACCAAGGCCAGTGGGGTGTGGGCCTTGGGGGATTGCAGGTCCAGTGTTGACATAGACGCCATGCCTTTAGGCCCAGTGTTTCAGGCTCCTTTTCGCTGCTGGTTCACGGGACAACGCATGCAGTGCTCAAAGTATTGATATTGGCTGACATTCAAAGTACTCCCACTCACAGAAGTGAAGCAGCGCCGATGGCTTGCGACGTATATCTTCAGATGTGTTCTGTCTCGACAGGTATCCTGACCGAAGTGGTTCGATGCTCGTAGATCCCGTGCTCTGACTCCAAGTCTAAGGGTGCGCATAAAGAGGGAGGCGATCAAACAGAGTACTGGTAAGACACAGCAAGTATATGACTGAGAGCAGCATCGGTAGTAGTGGCATCAGGGCATGCCCAACTGCTTAAGCAAAAGGCTGCGGACATGTTATTGCTTGTTTGCTGTATGAGTCAGCTTGCATGGTGTGCTTGGTTCTCCAGCTCCTTTACATTGGTATCTCTCAAGCCGCTACTTGTGCTGTTTTGCGTCTGTCGTGATGTTGCTGCCAAGGTGTCCTTGCCACCGGCCTGCTCGCCAGGGCCCCGGGTGCGTCTCTTGGAAGCGCTGCGTTCCAAGCAGCCTCGCCTCGGAGGCCTCGGAGGCCTCGGAGGCCTCGGCATGCAGTTTCTGCAAGCCCATGCTGCTTTGATTGCTGCGGCCTTCACCACGTGCACCACGCGGCGGATTGCAGCAGGCCACGGCTCCACGGCCATGTCAACAGAGTCTATCTCCGTCTCGTTGGGTTGTCGGGGCAGTTCCAGGCTCTGCTCGAGCATCGTTTGCAGTGCCACTGCTGGACCTTGCTCAATGCCGGCGGTCTGAGGCGAGACATGTATCACGTGATTTGGAATCTGTGACCTTTGATGGCCTTCTCCTGTTTGAACTTGGCAGGCCTCCACATGCACACCGTTCTTGGACGCGTTCAGAGGCATCGGTGCATTCCAGGCACTTCGCAACTAGTGCTACCCATGTTCTTCAAAATGTAGGGACATGGGATCCTGCCTAGTCAGCAACAGAGGAGCCGAAGTTGAGTGAGGCAGTGCATGAGTTGATTAGGCGAGTTGCGATACAGTTCTCACAGGTTCGGGTGCCTGCACCGCTGGCACGAGACTCTCAGCACGTCTTCGAGCACTTTGAGACTTTCATGGCGCTGCCGGAAGCAGCCGCCGGACTTGCAACAGACTGGTCTGGGCACGTCGATGTGTTTGTGCGGTGCTGTGGCTGGAACCGTTCGCATCCAATCAAAGCTCCTCATGCTTCTGCTTGTTTTAGGCTTGTGTAACCCTGTAATGTCTGCCAGCTTCAGGCTCGGCACCGTTTCCTGTGTGACCCTGGGGAGGTGCTGGTTGCAGCTTGGCTGTTGCATCTGTCGCTGTTGCTTGTGCAGCTTGTCGACGCAGACGACCAGAATCGCAGAATTCAATCGTCGAGATTTGGCAGCAGTCGCCCAGGTGCACGGCTATCAGCCTCGAGGCGGAGAGGCCGAACGCTCTTTGCCAAGCACTTACCATGTCGGACCCCAGAAGACCTGACAAAGGCTTCACAGCAGCACGACTCGTCGTCTTAAGCGCATCTTGTAGGTTGTAGGGCTACACACTGCTCTCCAAAGCCAGTTTACATCAATGACTCGTAGTGCAACGCTAAAATGTGGCGAAGGTTTCAATCGATTCCGCTCCGGCATCGTGTTCCACGGCGAGAGCACGCTGCCCTTGCTGCCGGAGCCTTTTGAGGCAACCTGCTAGGCAGTCCCTAGGGATAAGCAGATTGCATGCTGTTTCTGCAGGTGCGTGAAAGTGCACAAAAAGCGCAACTAAGAGCTTGAAAAGAGGGCATGGTCTGTTGCAGGAGGACATCGAACGTTGGCGAGACGGGATGTGGCGGCTCTCGGAGAGGATGCGCTACTTGCTAGCCCTGACGTATGACCTTTAAGTATTTCGGGAGGAGGATAGCACGCACCTTCTGCCCGGAACTCCGGAAAGATGAGCCTCTCAATACCATTATACTTGTCCTGGAAGCCCTGGTCCCTTCGGGAACCCGGTCTCTTAAAGGCACTCCGTTTGAATGCGGGCTGCGGGACGTGCGCCTCAAAGCTGCAAGTCCATCGATTCTGATAGCAAAAAAAGGCTCCATCTTTGGTAGGATTCTGGAGCAGCTCCGGGACGAGCTGTGCCGGAGCGGAAACATGGAGGTGCCAGAACATGGAGCAGGATGTCTTGCTTCTGATCCAGCCCTTGCGGCGACCAGGTGAACCTGGGCATGGGTTCATTCAGCCAGGGCGGTGCCGTCGACATGTCGCTCGCCCTGGATGCTTCATAGAGCGAGATCTTCCTAGGAATCGCTAGCAGAGAGCGGACCGTGTTGAAGCCGAGAGGATCTCAGGGTCGCACTTCCAGCTGAAGCAGATGCACTCCGGCTCCGAGCCCAAAGGAAAGGGCCCGAGCTTTCTCATGTCCACTCCACTGTCGTTGTCGACACGCTGACCGTTGACATGTGTGATGTCGGCCGGGCGAAGCCACGTGAGCATCAGGCTCTGGGTCTGGAGAGACAGCCCCTTGACTGGCTTTGAGAGATTGCCAAGTTGTCGAATTCAGCAGCGAGGGCTCTTGATAATTAGGACATACTCGTGACAGGAATCGATATTACGGCATGTGTCTGCCAGGTCCGACTGCCGCTGCACCAAGATCCAAGCTTTATGCCCCTTGGGTCAAACTGTCGTTGCATCCGCAGCAACCTGCACGTGAGTGTCCTGGCTCTAGGTCCCTGCTGATCCATGGCTCATCGGATCCTCCAGGTCAAGGTCTGGAGATCTGGGATGAGGCAGCACAGGAGCTCCTTCAGATCAAGTCGTGTGGCACGACAAGTGTGGCTTTGTTGAAGCTTGAATTTTGGAGGAGTTCGTCGCAGTTCCTCGGCCAGGGACCCTGAGCCGCCGTGAAACAGCGGTCTGTTGAGTGAAGGCCAGAAGCTGAGGTCCGGCTGCGAGGTCGCCACCGTTTTCATCGGCCAGCTGTTTCATTTGCTTTGTGGGCGCGGCGACATGCAGCTTGGTCCAGGAAAGAGTGTGAGTCGGTGTGCGCATTGATTTTGTTCCGCACCGATTGTCTCCTTGCTTGAATTGGAGTCGCGATGCCACTGCCTCGTACTTCGAAACCGCTCCGAATGCTTCGAAGCCCATGGCACGAACGTTAGTGTTACTTGGTTGGACATGCTTGCTGAATCTGGGAGTTGTTGGATGAAACGACGGGTCTCGTCATCTGGGCCCTGGAGTTAATCACATTCGTCTGCATATTGTTAGCTGGCTTCTGTTTGGAGATAAGGATGTTCCACTGTTGGTCTCGATCGTGTCATGTCCTGTTTCTTTAGTACGGTCGCTCTAGCCGCTAGCTGCATGTGTCAAGAAGGCTCTGCCATTGCCTCGCGTCTTTGCAGTAGAGTTGCTCCGGGAAATTGAGGGATCAGTGGAGCAAGACAATGCAGCCGCGACTGTCCAGCAACGGCATGAACCTATGAAGCCTCAAGGCCCGCCAGGAAGTGGACCTACCTCGTTGAAGCTCGTGTTAAACATTGGGCTGAGGCCGGTTATGATGCACTGAGGCGATTTGCCAAAGGAGCACATCGAGTGGTGACTCGCGCCGGAGACATGGAGAAGCAGCGCCTCACGGCCGTCTTCTTCTTCCAGCAGCCTGGTCACGAGACTGTAGACAGTACCGGTAGCATTCCCGCTCATTCAGATCAGATCTGCCTTCTCTGTTTGCTGCGCCTGCTGCGCCGATGTAAGGCCGCAGTTGGACACGCTGCTCCTTCCCTTTGTCTCTCCAGCCAAAGGGAGCCAAGAAGAGACGAGCCTCGGTGCAACGAGGAAAGGGCACGGATGTTGGTTCTATGTGTAGGAGGCTCAGACTTTTTCTTGATATGCCTGACGTGGGCTGAGGATTTCTTTCAGAGAGCGGCGCTTGCGCAGCTACCGGCGGTTCGCACGAGCAGCGCCACCGTGGAAAAAGGAGAGCGGATGAAAGCAAAGGTTAGAGAGGGCAATCAGATGATACCAAAGAAGAGCTCCTGTTGTGTGGCCGCAAGCCCGCAGCAGGCCAGTGCTTGATCTTTCTCCTTCCAGTGTCGTCATGCATATCTTGTGCGGATGCCTCCGGACAACATGATGCTGTCTGTCCGAGCGACTGTGTCCTGGCACCTGGGCTCGACAAGAAGCTCTCAGCAACATTAGGGGCTCCGACCGACACGAGTCTGGGACGCTAGATCAGCCGCAAGATGTCTCAAAGACAGAGAACAGTCATGCTCACTGGACCAGAGCCGCTTTGCTATGCCTGCGAGCGGAGATTGTGCATTCGATTGGGCTTTATCCTGTTCACAGAACCCGGTATGGTATGCGGAGTCTGGGTTGCCAGACGTTTGAAGATATACACACGTAGCCTCGGCCTCGTGTTTCAAGTAGGCTTGACAGCGCACAGATGGCTTTGCCATGGTCGCCTTCCAAGCACACACCGTGCGAGCGTGGGCCTGCGCCCAAGGTAACACCAAATGAACTGAATATGGGAGTTTCCGAAAATTAGGGTACCGTATTCTGGTGTCCTTATAATAAGGGTCCTACTATTTTAGGGTACTATATTAGGGTCCCTATTTTCGGAAACTCCCATATAAGTCACCGGCATGCTGCTCGCTGCGACCGGACACACTCCGCTTTCTTGTCACAGTTGTGAAGCCGGAGCTGAGTGTTGTGGAATCTGCAACAAGGTCGTGCTTGGCATATTTCTGTGCAGCTCGGCTGCCGACCCAAGGCACGGCAGCCCGGTGAGAGCGAGGGCCTTCAAGCAGACTTCCCAGAGATTTTCTTCGCCGCGAGGCGACTCTCGGACTCCACGGAGTGCGATGCCCCGTGCCAGCCCGGCCAGTTCAAGGCCCTGCCCCTGGTGGCGCTGTGCGGAGGAGGCGGCTGCACTGTGGAGGCGCAGAGGGCAAGAACCACCGACGCACCACAAGCGGTCTTAATCCCTTGACCCCCGTGTACCTTGCAGGATGACATTCTCAAAGGGAAGTCCCAACTCTTCATGCAGATTCCGATCAATAGCAGCGGCATCCGTGTGGAGATGACAACACGCCAGACGGATCAGGATCTGCAATTAGTTGATCCTGCGGCTGGCTCTTTGCCTGCAGACAGCACGGCCTGGCAATACCATCGGAAACACGACCGCCACCTGCTTTTTCCGATCTCGAGGTATTTGCGTCGCTGGAGCTGTTGGAGATACTTGTCCTGACGGCGGCCGGCCTGCAAACGTCCCTTGGATATCCGTGGGTGCCTGGCGTTACCAGCTGATGTATCATCCGTTCGGGTCTAGCCTGCCATCTTCTATCTTGTGTACACATTCAGCATTTCCTGGCTAGTTATATAGATGCAGCGCTTAGCATCGAATCTTGCAGAATTGTGGCTGGTCGCTATTGCACAGTGCACAGGGGCGAGGCAGAGTCCAAGAAACATCGGAAAAGCAAAAGCCCTTGAAGACGCGACGACTTCTTTCCTGCATTCCACACACTTCGTAGCCCCACGTGAAAGAGCACCGGAGGCAGGCACCGGCTGCACGGATGAGAACGACTACTGCGTCACTTACGAGGGGATGAACTGGTACTTCAGTGGGGATAAGCAGCTCGCGCCTGTCTTCGAGAAACTCTCTCTACAAGGCCGTACTCGCAGCGCTGTCATCCTGAGCAACTAAGAGCGACTTCTCACGATCTCGCATACCATCTTTCCAGCTACAGAGAAAGACTGTGAATGACCCTATTTGCAAAGTTGCCTTCACTCGTCTTTTGCGCAGGCCGGGTGACGCAGCTTCTTGATATTTGGGTGGAGGTCCGACATGTAAATCACTCTGGGTATGACGTGTGCGTTCGAATGCCACCACGTAGAGGCACCAAGCGGGGGGGAGCTGCAGGCCGGGAGCTCGGTGCATCCCCGCAATGTCGGAGATGGTTGTTGGGTGTTACCGGAATGCAATCGTTCGGTATTGTGTCCGTGCGCAGGTTCAAGTCCGGAATGATCCCATTTCACCATGTCCTACTCAACTTCCTGGCTGCGTACCCTGTGAACAGTACGATCGTCCTTCGCTTACAAAGTGCTCAGGGTGCCCACATTCCTTGCGGATCCTCGCGGCTGTGAAACCCTGCATAGCATGCTTTGCCAAGGTTGCGGCCCGTTTGACAAGAAGATTTGCGATGGCAGTGCAGTCGTCGTCTGCGAAGCCACGACGCAGACCACCACGACAAGCAACTCCGCTAAACGACGAGAGGTTTTAGTGGCGGTAACTGGGTTGGACATTTTGTGTTTGCCATGTCGCCGCCTTAGGGCCTCACTTGCTGTCTGTGGAGTCCGGCATATGTAGCTATGTCTGCCTCGGTTGTCTGCAGTTGCCAGACCGCAGATGCTTCAGCGCCGTGTGCAGAACAGTCGGCGTCTTCCTTTGAAACTCATTCCCCAAACGGAGTGTACCGGGATGACTGATTGCTGTTCCTGCGCAAACTCACAATATTGATTGACATCTTTTTCTTTCCACAGTCCTGCTGAGGTGACTCCCCGGATGCCAAATCATTCATTGTAAAATGTAAGGTTTTGGTCCTCCGGAACTCGATGAATCGCATTCCTGAGTTTAGGGTGTTTTTGGGTGCAACTCGTGCTCCCGCCACATTCCCGTGTTTTGTTTTCAAATCGCTCGAAGCCGAGTCCCAGGTGCCACACTAGCTGGTCAGGGCTCGTTTGAGGGGCTCGAAATCGGTTTAGAGTTTAGGGCCGTTTGGAAATGTGATGCTGTGCTCCTGCCACGGTGCTGCGTGTGCTTTGACAGTGCGGTCCATGTTCTGGGGTGCCCATGGCGCTCCCGCCACGGGGCGGGTCCCCTGGCGCATATTTCGGAGTTACGGGGTGGTCTTGGAAGCTTCAGGGCTCCTGCTTCGTTTGGACTCCTGGGTGCTCTGTCACTATTTGGGGTCTTGCATGCGCAACATCATTAACTGGTGGTGGAACGGCATCGGCGCTCAACGCATCTGCAACAAAAACAGAGAGGCTGTTGTGAGGCCGAGCCCGGCTGTGCAAGTGCAAGCAAGGGTGGTATGTCAGGAAAACCACCATCCTGTCTGCGAGCGGATTCGCACTGGTGCTCTACATACTTCGGGTATTCCCCCCAGCACATTTGACATGATGCTTTAAGGCACGCAAACGTCGGTTACTGTCACAAGCTCCACCTCTTCCTCCAGAACATCGTCCACGACCCTGTCACGCACAGAATCTTGGACAGCAAAGGGCTCTTGCAAATTCCCGAAGTCCTCTTGCAGTTCGGATGTACCGGTGCTGCCATATCGAGATATGACAGAACACTCCATTCAACAAGGGTTGAGCACTTGTGAAGTTTGAGGTGACGACGAAAACAGCAACCACTACATCAACTTCCACGACTGGTACCTCCACTGCAAGCAGCACCAGCTCAACCACCAGCTACACCGACACGACGACGCTTTCCGCAACCTCCACGAGCACCACGACCTCAAGAAGTACGTCAGGCGAATCGGGAAAGCAGAAGACTGCATGCTGCGTTTTCGCGTTCTTACTGGCTGAGTCGTCTGAGTCGTGTGCAGGCAGTACACTGACGGCAGCAATGTCGTAGACGCTAATTAGCTGTAGTCGCTGGAACAGGATCATCAACAAGTACCTCGGCTACACTAACCAGCACCAGCAGGACTTTCAGCACCACGACCAGCACCTCCAGTGCGGAGACGGAAACACGGACTTCAAGTACTTCTTCAAGCAAGACACTCACCATTTCCTCGACCACCAGCCAAACGAACACGAACACCCACACCGTCACGACAAGCTCCACTAGCAGAACTGCAACATCATCGAGCTCCTTGACAACTACCATTTCTGTCTCCATGACCACGACTCGGACTACGACTGCAACCTTGACCTCGGAAACCTCAACTTCGCAGACCTCCACGTTGACCGTTTCGAGGACTGGCTCGCGGGCCAAATGCATCTCGCTCCCTCATCTCCCTGTAAACGGCTGCAGGCTTGCAGGCAGCTTGAGGCCCCGTCGTAATCGAAAAACGGCGTGTGGAGGGCATTTAAGTCAGAGGTAGTAATGCTTCTCATCTTGGCCAGGCATTGTGAGAAGCGAGTCACATTCTGCAAATCCGAATCCCATTCGTCTGCGTGTGAAGCGAGACTGTCTTTTGCCTACATTCACATCTCACATCCTCCGGAGTTTGTGAGAAAGTCTCGCTCTTGTGAAGCCAGGTTTGTGCAACAAGCCAGCCCGGGGAGGCGCATGCCATCATCCACCCCTTCTGATGCGTAGGACCACCACCTCGTCCTCATCAACCTCCAGCTCGACGACCTCCACGTCGCTGACCTCCACGTCGATGACCGGCACATCGACAACCTCCGAGTCCTCCACTGCAACCGTCACTAGGAGCTCCACGAGCACCACAGTCACCGGATCCACGACCATGTCCAGTACACTGACACTCTCCAGCACCTGGACGACAACAAGCACCACAAGCTCCCTGAGCGTCACCAGCCAAACGGACACGACAACAGCAACCAACACCCTGACCACTTCGAGCACCCTTACACGAAGCACGGTGACGACGACGAGCATCACTTCGACGACTCTCTCTGTGCCGGCCTTGGGGTTTGCAGTCTGTATCGTTCCGGCTCGAGAACTGTCCTTCCTTGCCCGCTGCACATCACTACTTGTACCCGCTGCCAGATGCGTAGCCGGGCATAAGGTCACGACCACCATCTCAAGCACCACCCTGACAAGCACAACGTCCTCCAGCACTGAGACGTGTGGTTGCTGCGCATCTTGCAGCATTGGTGTCAATTACGTCCCGCCGGGGAAGCTCGTCTGCATCATGGGAAGACGAAGCCTGCGGAATCATAAGCAGCTTTCGTAGCACATCAAACTGCCAGGCTGGCAATGACCGATGAAGACAACAGTGCAGTCGCACTGTC